CAGATACTCTCTCAGATAAGGAGAAGCGACACTCTTATTAAACTTTAGAAAGTGGGTTTCTTCAGACTTCACCACTGCACAATATATCCATATATCAAAACTGCACTTGTACCCCCAAATTTATGCAAATAAAATGAAAATGGATTTCTTGTTATCACTTGGTAATTCCTTTGAGTATCTGATAATCTATACAATATCTACTTGATACGGAATTTTCTTGGAAAATAAAATTTTATTAACAGATATAAACCACTGTAGCTTAACATCTATCTAAAAATAATTTGCATCAAAAAGTAATACAATTTCTTGTTTATGAATTTCAAGTTTTTTTTTTTTTAATCCCCATCAGCATGTGTCATGAAGTTGAGGCAATTTATGAGAATCTTGCCATTATTTCTCAAACACTTTACTAGCTTCAAGCAGGCTTATATCTACACATAAAAAGTAGTATGAAAAAACAAATAATACTTTCAAGTAGGTCATATTTAAAGTAGTTGAAACTATTTGCTAAAAATTCAAATAAAAGCATTCTTCTAACATTTGTATCTCACTTCAGCCACGTTGTCAGGAAATTCTTCTCTAGGAAGTTAAGGCCATTTTATCTGAATCAAGAGCCCTTCATTTCCCAAAAATCTTATATGAACTATAAAACCAGTATTAAAAAAACCTTCAAATTTCACACTTGCGTGTGTGAAATTGAGACATGAGAAGAAACAATCTTTGTCAGCAAGAGGATTCTATCTGTTCCAAAATGTTTAAAAAACAGAATAGAACTTTGTCTTTTACGGTTAATCATAGTTCCTTAATTAGTATGCCAAGTAAGCCACTTTTTCCCACTGGTAATTGATAATGGGAAAGTTCGAAGTCAGAAATACGGAAATTATCTGCTTATACTAAAAATAATTACAGTGTTCAGTTTAAGTTATGGGTTCAAAGTCTCACTGTGATTTATTGAGACCACTACTTGTCAGCTTCCATTAAGAATGCTATTAGTGACCCTAGTTTGATGCTTATATTTTGAAATTTTCCTAGTTAAAATAAAATTACTATCCTATTTCTTTATAAATGTTTTTCACTGAGGATAAATTGTATAACTTAATTTCCAAAATAGTTTCCCTAAAGTTATTCTTCACAAATACCTGCATCTTAATTTCAACTTTTTGGCTCACCAAGAACTGAGTAAAGTTTTCCACAGATGTCTGTATCTTAAGCTATCTAGCAATCTGTAGAAGAGACTAACACGGTAGCAATAGCTGTGATGATTATAATCAGGGTAGCAGATGCTGGTATAGGTTTTACATGATCTATACACTGGTAACAAATGTCCACAGGGCACTCTGTAAAGCAGGCCAGCAGAATTGCAAGCTTCTGGGCTACAGCGGTAGGTTTTTGCAACATGAAATTAGTGTCAAAAGGTAAGCCATCTTGTAATGTTTGCATTTGTCCTACAAATGTGTGGTAAGTGCATGCAGCAGCATTTCAGAGGAAACCAAGCAGGGCCTGGATAATTATTTCAAAGTTAGCCATAAAACAGTATTCTAAAATGACCTTGAAGGGAGTGGTCAGTTCACTGAAAGAGCATGTAGGCTCAGCCTTCTGCTGAATCACCTGTACTGAAAAATGGAAATCTCACAATACAACTTTAAGTCTGGTTCTTCATTATTGTTCATGCCACTAGGTAAGCATCTAACAGTTCCTATTAAGCCACTGCACAGTGGCAAAGATTTTAGTATTGTCATTTTCATTGTTAAGAAATAATGCATATCACTTTATCATTCTGAAAGCATTCTATACTAGGATGGTGTAAGAGTTTAGTTTTGTAAACACAAGTTATTGTAAGACATAATTTTTCTTCACTAATTTTTAATATATCCTTGAAAATGCACTAGATTTCTATTTTACTTGAGTCTACTCTAGTTCATTGATATATTTTTATTTGCTTCCACATTATTCTTTAGCAATAAACATCTCATTTTGGAATAGTTTTAGATTTAAAAAATTATGGCAAAGATAATACTGACTTTCTATATTGCCTATACCTAGCTTCTCCAATTAGTAATTTGTTAAAGTTTTACTAACTAATCACAATTTATTAAGTTTTCCTTAGTTTTTACTTAGTGTTCTTTTTTAGTTTTAAGATCCCATCCAAGATACCACATTACATTTATTCACCATACCTTCTTAGCTTCCTCTTCTTTGGGACAGTTTCCCAGGCTTTCCTTGTTTGTGATGACCTTGAAAGTTTTGAGGATTACTCTATCAACATGATTTATCACTGTTGCTGTTCACCTTGGTCACCTGGCTGAAGTAGTGTCTGTTAGTTTTCTCCACCATAAAGTTGTTTTCTACCACCCCTTTCTGTACAATTCTCCTAGGGAGGAAGTCACCATGAACAGCCCCCACTTAAGGCACAGGGAGTCATGTTCCACCTTACATAAATTATTTATAATTTTCTGCACAGGATATTTGCCTATACTCTCCTATGTATTTATTCATCAACCATTGCTAAAGCATGGACTCAGAAACATTCATTTATAAATTGGGTTATAATCCTTTGCTACTTTATAACTCAAATTGTTCCATCTTTGGCCACTGGGAACTTTTGTGTCCCTTTGACATAAAGCAGCATTTTGTGACACTTTCTTACTTTCTGGCACTTCAAGATGCACTCAGCTCATCTTGTGTATTTTATACCCCAGTTCTAGAATCAGCCATTTCTCCAAGAATTCCTGGTTCCTGTTACTAAAAGCCAGGAAAGACCTGGATGCTTTGTATACTTGGGAGTTTTATTTTAAAATTCTAAATCTTTATGGCCTTTAAATAAAAATTTAAATGCTTTTGTTAAGCCAACCCAGTGGGGAGAGTGTTTTGTTTGCACTGAACCTTGTGTAAAGATGAGGTGCTCTGACTCTAGCACCTGGTGTGTGTGTGTGGGGAGGGGGGGCACTGCTCTTACATTTACTGTCTTGAACACCCTTGTCCTCTGTTGTGCATAGATCAACAAAATTCAACAAATCATACTTCAGAATTTCCAGATACTATATAATCACAAGTACTGCTGAATTACAGTTATGTATACATGAGTTTTTGAATTAATAATATCAATATATTATAGAGACTGACATTTATAAACCAAAAACTTGGGATGATGGGACCATAGAACTCAAATGTACTATTCAAATAATACACCTTTTCTATTAAAATGCTCTAAGTATCAGGACGTAAATCAGAGCTTTGCTTTCCATTGGGCCATTGGTATGTATTCTGTGATCTGTGAGGGAAAGGACATTCAGGTGATACCGGGATAAATGAGGTGGAGAAGAGTCATGGAGCAGCAAAGATATTTAGACAAAATTTTAGGAATATGTATTTTCTCCAACTTCCTAGAATATAGAAATTTTAAAAGGTATAGTCTTGTAAGCTTTATAACATGCACAAGCCTAGTTTAAAACCAATAGAAAGTTAAATGGAGAGTAGATTATACTGATGTAAATCAGAAAAGCCATCTGTATAAATATATAAAATTGCATTAAATGTTTTTCAACTCTAATATGGAACTCAAGATTGTGATCAGATTGAAAGGAACAGTATACTGAATGAGTAAGTTATTAACTAAACATGAATTTTAGGTTAATATCTTTCCAAACACAACATAAATAAGATTTTCACAAAGAAATATAACTGAATATTGTTTTCTTCCAAATTAATGGGCTCCATTATTTCCTACACATTCACAATACTACTCACTACAATTTGAAAATGTAAAGTAATAGGGAAAATTAGAAATTTAAATAGTAAACATTACCTTTTACTTTTTTTTTTGAAAATACTTGTTTTAATATGAGAGACTAAGAGCCCCAGGAAAAATAAAGTGGTTTAACAGCTTCAAGATAGAGGACAGGAAGGCAGAAAAATAATTGGATAATAATATATTATACCAGCAAGGTTGGGAAAGGGTGTATTACAAAATGGGAATTTATATCAATTAACAGGCTTCTGTGCAACCCCAAAATGTCAATTTTAAATGATGAAATGAGGTTAGATGGCAAGTGAAAAGAAATATGCCAGGACAGACGCATAAAGGCACGCAAGAAAAGAGGAGCAAGAGGTAAATTCCAGTTCAGTTTAGCCATAGTAAGAAAAGGTAGGTGAGGAGATGTGAGCAATCTCAGTTAGGTAAAGAGACATTATCAGTTTTAGAATAATATAACCTGGTATTAATAATAACCATAAACAAACTATACAAAACTAGAAGCACCATTTTCCTTTTAAAAAATACTGAATAAAATTTCTCTCAAAGACCTAATCATTAATTTAAGTTCACATCTTGCAAACCTTTAGTACTTTTTGCTAACATCCATTATAAAACGAATGCACTGTTTCATTGAGCAAAATCTTTAAAAAGCGATAAGCCAACTAATATATTACACACCACAGAGATTCCAACATGAAAAATACTGCAAGTTCAAACTATAAACTGCTTTGTGTCTCAATAATGTCAGAGTGCTTCATGAACTGGGATGCTAAAATTCAATCTGAAATATATTTACTTGCAGTACTGAGAATCCATGAAAGCAGCAAATTGCTCAAAGCTCTGTTTTGTGGTATATGAGGACTTGAGCTGTGCTCTGCCATGCTTTTACACAGCATCCTGATTCCTGCCCTCCCAAATGCCTAGAGACACACGGTGCAAGAACCAGAATATTGGTCATGCACTCACCCAAACAACACCTGCCAGGTAGTGTTTACTTAATTCTCAAAGCTTGAATGGAAACCCCAACAGGCAGACCATGTGAGAACCAAATCCAGACACAGACATATAACAACAAGCAGCCAAACATCTGTAGAAATCAGTGTGTTGAGCTTCTGAATGAAGTCTCCTACAGCACATTCTCATTACAGTAGGCCATCCTGTTCAATAGTGTATCTTAATCCATCTGGGCCACTGTCTCAAAAGCAGCTCAGTTTCCTCAAGGGCTAGAATGCCAATAACCACTTACCCGATTCGCAGGCAAATGTCTTCGATGTTTCATCATGAAAGATAATTGCCACTGCATGTTTTTTTGTCTCTCGGGGCAGTCTGGTTATATTTTTGATATTGTGCAGTTCAGTTACCTTGAAAGAAAAAAAATATTTTTAACTTAGTGTAAAGTATGTATGCTCTATGTTGGAGTGCTGAAACAAAATGATAAGTTATCACAGTCTTACATGAATTTCCACTGGATATTTGTCCCCATTTTGAATTGACTTCAGCCAAAACCAGTAAAGAACAAAACAAAATGTCTTCTATTATGCTCTTAACTTTGGTCACAGACTATATTGTTTGGTGCATTTTGAAATGGACTACATTTCAAAGAACACAATTGTGTTCTTGATTTGGCTCTTAACCTAAAATTATTGTTGTGTAGAAATGCTACTGATAGTGTAAATTTAAAAAAATTTTTTCCCATTCTGTTGGTTGCCGCTTCACTCTAATGATTGTTTCTTTTGCTGTACAGAAGCTCTGGAGTTTAATTAGATCCCATTTGTCTATTTTACTTTTTGCTGCCATTGCTTTTGGTGTTTTAGTCAAGAACACAGTTATGTAGAAGGGTTCCATGGACTTTGTGCTTTTATTAAAGGTATATGCCTGGCAAATAATAGCAGTTGTGGTATACAGAAGATTCTCATTAAGTATCTGCTGAATATTGATTGTATTTAATATGTTCCCTCTTTTAATTCTCACCTATCATGCAAGTTTCTGGTAGGACTATGGTCCTGAGGCAGCTGACACATGTCTGTCAGCAAAGGGAATGGAGAGCAAGTCCACTGCCCCAAAGTTACATTTTAGAGCAATGGACTTGCTCTCCAGAAAAATGCTCACAGTGTTCACATATACCACTTCTCCCACCAAAGCCTATCCAAGATTTATGCACCCAGGTTAACAACTCTTTATTTTATTGAGTAATTAATAAATATTAGTAACCTTATATATTTTAGATGTTGACTCCTTATTGGTACAAGTTCTTCTGCTACAACTTGTGCATCTTTAATTTTCCCCCACAGTCAACAGAAACAAACAAATGTATATTTCCTCAACAACTCTGCAAACACAACATTGCAATAATAATATTCAATGAGTTAGTTTCAAAAAATATTTTCAATGTGCTGAATTTTTTCTTATTTAATATGATTACTTATTTCTGGATCCATATTGTTAACAGAAAGGAAATGGGATTAACTAGCATAATAAACAGCAAACTAATATCCTTTTTAAATGACAACCAATGATATTATACCTATAATTACATGATATCTTACAATAAATTTATTACCTTTTGACTATTCTTTTAATTTCTCCTCTCCAAATGTAGAATTTTCACAGGACATAACTAGCTTTTTCAAGGCTATTGTGCTGGCTAATATTTTTATAAACATAATAACTAAACACAGGAATATTTACATATTTGGATATTATATAAATATTATAATATATAATACAAATGTAACAAATTAAGTAATATTCCTTAGGATCTATTTTCCTTATTATCTTTAACATTAAATGTGGTAAGTACTTAGCAAGCATTAATATCTGTATTTAACATTACACTGTGTAAACTAGACTAATATCCTCAATAAAAACACAAAATAACCCTAAAAATCATAGGCAAGGAATCTGTAACGTGGATGGAGATGAGCAAGCGCACACGTGGAATGGAGACTACAGAGAATTATCGGAAAGGTACTTGTCAAGGAAAATCACCCAATTCATCATGTATTTTTTAAAGTTACAGTTGTTCATTATTTGTGATTTCTATATTTGTGAATTCACCTACTTGCAAAAATTTATTTACAATCCCAAAATAAATACTCATGGCACATCTGTGGTCATTTGTAGACATGTGCGTGTGCAGAGAGGGTGGGTTTTGACAGTGTACTGTTCACTGTGAAGACCATTAGACATTTATTAAGTGATTATTCCTTCCATAGCCTATGGGAGAAGAAAAGACTGAAGGATAGGATTTATTCTCTTGGAGTGTATGCTGTGAGAGGGAGGGCATATTTACATATTTTAGGAATTATAAATAAAAGAACAAATATCAGAGAGAAACTCTGCTTCAATTGTAGTTCAAAAAGGTTAATTAGATTTTACTTGTTCTACCATTTAAGTTGAGGTATTATGTTATGGGCTTAAGGACATAGTGATACTTTCTCCAGTTAGGCCCAAGTTTTCCAGTTATTTTATTTGCAAGCTTAGTAACATTTGGAATATATTTAACTGTGCAATTTAAAAGCATCATGCTATTTATTTTATGCATCTTTTCTTTTAGCCTAACTATGCAAACTGAGTGGAATATTACCACTCAATGCAGCTCTTACTCACTACAATAAAATTGCATTTACACTATTTACTACTTACATAAATAGGCAAAACCCCATATTTACTATAATTATTATTAGGTTTAATGTGCCTCTTTTCAGCTTGCATCACAACTGAGATTAGATTGTCTGTCCATTAAAGCACTAACATTCTTTTTTTAAGCCTATCTTTTGAAAAGTGAAATTACTTTCTAGATTTTTTCAAGTAGATTCAAATGAATTAGAACATACATTTTACTATTCTTTCATACTAATTTAATAATTCTTATTAATCCTGGTGCTTTACTCTTCTATGGTTGTTTTAATTAAGTCAAAGATTTTACTTCTGAGAGTAAAACAGTACCTTTTAGGAGCAAATATAATAAAACTTCACTTTATTAGGATGGAAAATATTTTCTAGTAAGAAAAGAAAATAAATATTTTACTGCATTTTCCACTATTACAATAAATACAGGTTAATTTCTCTATGCTTGAGTCCTTCACTTTCATAATAATAATTTAAATATTTGTATTACCTTATACATCATATACTTCAATATCTGGATGATGAAATTTGCATAGAAATTTTACTATTGCTTTTTTTTCAACTAAATTTACATCAATTTTCTAGCAGCTGATTCCTCATATTTGTCTCTTGTTACTGATAGAAATGAATGTGTACAATGGAAGAAATCAATTTAATTCATTCTTAAAGCTACCTGTGGCAGACATGTGCCCTGACACAATTCTCCCATGACCCACACTTGACTATCTCATACGTTCATTATTAATAATTACAAGCCTAGTCTTTTACATCTTCAGCATAAACCACATTATGAAATGCATCTTCTAAAAATGAGTAATTATGGATATAATTATATTAAAATTGAAATTTACTGTAATACTCCACTGTCTGTCTACTCAGCATCCAGCTCCAATTCCTTCATTCTTCCCAGAACTTGATTTCGTTCAGTTATCTGCCCCTCCAAAAAGCAGCCTGTATGTCCTGCTGGGAGGCTCTCAGCCCTAATATACAGGTACAACTCATTATCCCAGGGGTAAAGTCTCCTTGCTTGTGATTAGTTTAGAAAAGGGAATATGGGCCGGGCATGGTGGCTCATGCCTGTAATCCCAGCAGTCTGGGAGCCCGAGGCGGTTGGATCATGAGGTCAAGAGATTGAGACCATCCTGGCTAACATGGTGAAACCCCATCTTTACCAAAAATACAAAAACTTTCAGGGTGTGGTGGCATGCACCTGTAGTCCAAGCCACTTGGGAGGCTGAGGCAGGAGAATCACTTGAACCTGGCAGGTGGCGGTAGCAGTGAGCCAAGATTGCGCCACTAGGCTCCAGCCTGGCAACAGAGTGAGACTCTGTCTAAAAATAAAAAATAATAATAATTAAAAAAAAGCCAAATGCAGCTAATGTGATATGAATAGAAGTCTCCTAGTGGCTTCTGATACATGCTCTCTGATCTGACGGTGGTTTTATGATAAAACCAGCCTTCTTCTCTAGTGGTGCTGCCCTGTCTGAATGTCACCACTAAGAAATGCTGCAGCTGCCATTCTCCGAGGCAATCCTAAGAATGGAAGAACACAGAAGAAAAAAAGTACATCTCCTTAATTGTAATTGTTTAGCAAAAGTTACTGAATCAAGCAACCTTGAAGCCACTTTCTTTTTCTGCTGGAATATGTAATAATGCACGTTTGAAACTTGTTTAAGTTGGGTTTCTGTTATTTGCACCCCCTAAAATTTCTAACTGATGAAGCAAACTGAGAGCAGACCTTGCCTCATTTTACAAATGGCAAAATGGCTATCCTGATTTGGGGTTTCTACCGCATAAAGTCAAGAGAGAGAATAAGGACCAAATTTCTTAGTTCTCAGGCTAGTACACTTTCCACCAATTCATGCAATAGCTGTTACTCTGAAAGTCATGTGATTTACCAATGGCAAGTATCAGCTAAACAAGAAGTTATTACAGGGAAAAACTCAACCATAAAAGTTACTCAAATTGCAGGGATGATGATAAGAAGCCAAGAAAAGCCTCATTACTTTGTTATGCCTAAATTATTTTGAGATTGTCTATTATAAAGCAGAGAATCTATATTCAAGTCTGAGAAATACAGAAAATCAGTATATAGAAATATAGGCAGTAAAGCAGAAAATCTTTGCACTTACTTCTCCTGTGTGTGTGTGTGTGTGTGTTTAAATTTAGCATGTCTAATAATATGCTCCACTTACTCCAAAAACAGAAATTCACAAAACCACTCAGTCAGTTACAACATCACTCTTACTCTGAGAGCTGCAATTTTACTATACAAATATTATCAGATGCTATACAGCTACTATGGCTTTACTTAGGAGATGAACAAACTTAAATCTCTTCATTATTGTAATGCATCGCCCAGGAGCCCCTAAGAAGGTATGTCCAATCCTAATCCCTAGAACCTGTGTATGTACCCTTATTTGGAAAAAGGGTCTTTGTAGATGTAATTAAGAACCTTGAGGGGACATCATTCTGAACTTAGTGTAGGCCTTAAATCTAATGACAGGTGTCTTTATAAGAGAAGAGCAGAGGGAGATTTGAGACAAAGACACAGACAGATGGCCCTGAGAATATGGAGGCCGAGATAGAAGTTACGCTGCGCTAACCAAGGAAGGTCTGGAACCACCAGATGCTGAAAAAGGCAAGCAAGGACACTCCTTCAGAAGCTTTGGGAGAGTGTGGCCCTGCAGACACCTTGATTTCTGACTTTTGGCATCCAGAACTACTGCAG